GTGCTAGTGGTAGGCGAATTGTAGTGTTGGGCGCGTTAGCCATCTGCGCCGTTCCCCATCTTTGGTTCTCTCGAATCTTGTCTTGACATGGGGTACAGGTGTGGGAGTGGTCAGAGAGTGGGATAGATCCTGCGAGTCTACTTTCCCTATAATCCAGTTACAGTTACCGCGCCTGCATTCAGCTTGCTGAAGCTCTTTGTGGGCATCGTCGAGAGCGACGGTCAAACTGTCGGCTATGCCACAGTTGCTAGTGGACTTCGAGCCAAATATTCCTATGAAAATTTTGTCTAAACCGAATGGCCTTTAACTATTCTGATTAACTCAGAGTTATAAATTAATTCCATGGGATGTCATTCAAAGTTCACATGTCACTATAACCAGAGAACGCAATAAATCATCCACTTCGAAATCTCACATGTTAAATCCGCATGCATTTGAACAAAAACTGATCGTGGAGTGAACTAAAGGTTCCGCATTAACATTCAGTCGAATGACTATGATATTGGTGCAGGAAGCGACCACACGGACAGGGGAACCATTAATTCGCTTCACTATTTAGCCTATGCGCTCCGGACGTCTACCTTGATCTTTTATCCAATAGATTTTCGAGCACTGATTCTTATCGCATTACGATAGAAGCAAGCCTATCAGTTTTATTCCAGAAAGATGTGCTGTGAGTATCGATTTTCTCAAATCAGTGTTCCTCTCACGCTTCTCTCAATCGTGTTTTAGCTGGCTGTTTGTGTCCGTCAAGAAAGTGCAATGAAGTATGTGACATGAAAGCTCACTTTTAACCCTGACGATGTAGTAGCAGTTTCGATTACATACAGATATAGCCCTTTGTTTTGACTACACTGCGAAGTTCTTTAATCCCCACGGTACTATTATGTATGCCGATCCGCAAGCCGCAGCGTCGAAGGCATGCAGTTCACACTCCACCACAACCGATACAACTTGATGTACTCAAGCGTCGGCTACCGAACCTTCACTGCAGTCTATGTGCTTTGATGAAGTGGAACACAGGATGAAATTACCGCTAAGAACAAGGGAAACTGGAATGGTGATTTCTGGTTCATTAGCCGTCATCAGCCAGTCACACCCAGTCCCAGGTGGTTTACTGCACTAGGCTCAAACCCACACCCTGTTGATCAGACCTCCAATGATCTAACCAGTGAGCAAGACATGGAAAAACAGCTTCCAGAAACGCAGGCTGGTTATTTTATAAAAGTATATCTTAATTTGTTTTCAACACGTCAGGTACTTACGCAGTTCGGAGGTGCTAAAAGTGGCAGTGTTACTGGCATCTGACATGCCAAACTTGAGGCTGACAGCGTAGACATTCGCAGCATAGCGTCTGTCCGGCTTCAGATCAATGACCTTGAGATGCACTGAACCATCATTATTGATTTTCCAGGGTGAGATATCGGTGATCTGACGTTTCATTGGCGGTCCTGACGTTGGCTCAACTTCGGTCAGCGTCAGCGTGTAACTGGTAATTGGAACATAGGTGCGAGAAGCGCGATCTTGTAGTGGCTTTCCGGGTAGCCAACGCAGGATGGCGTAGGTAGGTCCCCTGGAGAAACATTCCAGATCGACGGGAGGTGGGGGAACATCTGTGGTGAGAGAATAACAGTGGATTGGGTGACTAGAACAAGCCCAGAAAAGTAACGCAAGCCGCAGGAGAATGGTAAACGATTGACTACAGAAACCCATTTTAATTCGGAAAATGGCAGTGGTCTACAGCGTAAAGGCCTTAATAGAGAAAAAGGATAAAAAGAACCGGAAAAGGGCCACTATGAGTAGTAATAAACAGTTACATTAGTAAATAGAGAGACTAGATATGGTTAGTAGATGTAAGATGACCTGAGTAAATGTAAGAAGATGACGCTGAGAGAGAATTTGGGGGAAAAATTTGCGTTTAAACAACTTTTTCATTAGCTCAAGTTTCGTTCAGTCAGGGAATCAATTTTTCTTAAATAATCAGCGAAATTAATATCCTGAAAGTATTTTGCGCTGGAACCACAGACAAAAACGACGTTGACCGGGAGATACACCCAAGTAAAGATCATTCTATATAGAGCTACCCTTTTGCGATCCATATTCAAAATTTAAAGAACAATCTCTCAGATTTTTGAAAAGAAAAACGTGTTTAGGAAGTGTCACACTCGTACGTAGTCGACGAGGGTTATTTCGAATGAGTATTTTCAAATTAATATTGGCATTACACACAACAGCAACCTTCAAAAGCCCTGAATAATCGCAGGTGGATTTAATGTACAGAAAGGTAATTAATGCAGTGCACGTCATATACCCCTAGTTCCAGCATTTTGTCCAACGAAACTGGTGGTTATAGGGGTTTTTGGGGTGGGGAAATAGGATAGACAGTGAAGGAAATTTGTAGAAGTAAGTGGAAAGTGGAAAACTGTGTTTGAATTTGTTTCCCGCGGCCGCTGGGAGTAAGCTGTTCCGCATGGAAATTGAATGTGCGCCCAGCACTTCGCACAGCGGACTATATTAATCTAACTTCAGAACGGTAAGTTGGACACCAGGTAAGTTAAAGTAGATGACCTTCTAACCATCATTTCTATTTTTTAGGAATTTCAAGAAACCTGCATTTTGATAATCGGGTTTTTCAGCAAACTGGTAAACGATAATGCAGATTATAAAAATCTACAGATAAAAGTCAACAACATTCCTAATACGATAACACAGAAATTCACATATCCCACTGTGTATCCTTATTCTCTACTCAGAAAACTCCTGTAACCACCGTTTTCACAGGACAAAATGTTGTAATAGGGGTAAATTAAGTGCTCTGCTTAAACTGCTGTTGCCTAATATGCTAAAAATCTGTCTAGCTAACCACAAAAAAGTTCTAACAGAACGAAGACAATACGGACAGGGAAAACCTACAGATCACAAGAACTGAAGGTGATCGATCGTATTTGAGTATGAACTTGGACTCTGTGCAGCTTACGGATAATGTCGGGCAAGATTTAGCTGATGAGTCGCCATCGTCAATCAGAAAACTTGTATGAGGACTTCAATAACAAGTGCTGTTTCGCTTGCTGTTTTTGCTAACGGCTAAAATACTAATGTTTGCAGGAAGGCTTGTCAACCAGGGCTTCGAAGTTTGCAAACGAAGGCCGTCACTGGAAGACGGAGAAGAAGGTTTTGTCAGTTGTCGACGTATTTTGCACATACTCCATAAATACAGAAACACTGAAACAAGCTTCGAAACTTTCACT